GAGAGAGAGAGGNAGTGAGAGAGTGAGTGAGAGAGAGAAAGAGAGAAAGAGAGACGAGGAAGATCGCGAGGAGAATTAAAAAAAAAAGAAGAAAGAGAGAAAAATGTTCGTTACGCGGAATTGTTGTTGTTGGGTTGGTCGAATTGATTACGCGAGGGGTGGGGGTGGGGGGACAACGGGGGGTACGAAAGGGAGAGAACGAAAAAAAAAAAAAAGTAGAAGCGGCGCGATCGTGACAAGATACAAGTGTGTCTCGGGCGATCGATTGCTTGGGAAACGCAGAACTGAGATCGTGAACGTCGACAGACAAACTCTCGACGATCTTGCGTCGTGGTTATCGTAACGCGTTAAATCGGCTACTTGAACACTCGCCTAACATTATCGAGACCTCCTTCGCTCCTTCGTCTCGTTTCGACCAACGTGGTGACGAGGTCTTTTGACAAAAATTCCTTTCCCTTTCTTTCCCTCGCCGATCGTTTCCACGATGAAAATATTCAAAACTTCTTCTTATCGATCGATTCGAATTATAACTTCTCCCTTCCATCCAACGACGTGTGGATTTATGCGTTATATATATTCGAACGAATTTCCACTTTTCGCGCGAACAAATCGATTCGATTCGAGCGGGAAACGATGAAAAATTTTCATTTTCAAGAAGATCGAAATCGGGCCCGGATTTTATGCGAATAGGTTTGATGTAATTCAAAAGTGGCCATCATTTTAACGGGCGTTTTCGTCGGCGTGATTCGAAGGGAGGAAGATGAACGATTCTTGAAATATTCAAGGCTCGTCGTTTAAACTTTGATTGCTCCGTTCGATTCATCGATTCTCGCGCGAGTCGAATCGCGAATTCGTCGTGAACGTTGTTGCGCGCGTCAATCCTTCGTAACCCGTTCCGTGAAGAAAGTTTAAGTGACCGAAGGGGCGAATAGTTGGATCCGCGATCCGGATGGGCTAGATTTATTATTCGAGATCAAAGTTTCTTGATTAGTCTGTTATTAGTGGGGCGTAATTACACGGGGAGCCACATTTGAAACGTGGTTAAAGTTTCGCCCGCGGGGCTAACGAAGACGCTATTAAAAGTTCACTTATCAAAGGCGGTGTGAAAGCATCGATCGTAAACCGATTCGCATTTGCATTCTCACTCGGAAGATTAAAAGATATAAAAGGGCGAGATAAGATCCAATTTCCTTCGAATCTTGATGCGAGTTTAAATGCGCGAAAAAGGGCGGGAAGAATTTAGAAATAAAAAGTTAGAATTATTATAATCGCGGTAATAAATTTCTGTTTTTTTTTTTAAATTAATTTGTATTTTGAAATTTAGATTGTTGAAACAAGACATCTTAAATGAATTTTATACGCGTTTCAAAAATTTTGAAAATTCTTCTTCTATCGCATAAATACAGTTAGAATCTTCTTTAAACGAATTTTTCCGTTATACAAATCGAAAGATGATCAATATCGATAATACTTTTCAATTTCAACTTGATTATATCGTTCGAATAATAATAAAACGGATATGGATGAAATTTATAAATTCCAAAAAATAAAAAGGAAAAATTCGACGACAAATTTCTTTTTATACCCTTTTTATCCGATTATTTCGAGGCCTGGAACGATAAGATAGTTCGACTAACTTCGGATCTCTGTCGACGTGGTCGATCTCAGTTGAGGGGGGAGTACCGCGACGCGAAAGGTAAATTCGTGTGTACACGCGAAAGCGGTTGAGGTGCATGGACCGTGTATATATGGTGATTATATGTATTCCATACGTAGACTACTCACACTACTTGGGCGCTACAACACTAGAGCAACGTACAACGTGCAAGCATGCTACGAGACGCTATCGAAGCAACATGCACTGCTGCCTACTTCTGTGCTGCGAAGAGGCAATCTTACGTTATATCTAATTTAATATAAAATACTTATATCTAATTCGAACTTGTGTGTAGCACAAGGTATGCAGCAGGATCTGAAA